TCCCTCTTTTAAAATTAATATATGCTTTTATAATCTTGGCACAAACTGAACAAGAATAGAAGTGCATAAAGTAGGAGGCTTTTAAAACCACCACATGATGTTATATTGTTACCTTTCTGTGTGAAAATGATTAATTATCCTCATAATTTATATTTTAAAGTGTCCCCATTTTAATTGGCAATAGTTAATTGGAGATTCAAATGCTATGTTTATATTTGCGTAGGTGGTCTCCATGATTCAAGCATGTTGAAAGAAACTGTGAGGCTTTTATTATTATTTTGATAGGTATAATTAAAAATTGGCTTGTTGTAGAATTTATATGGTGGTAAGCATTTTTGTTTTCCAAATATGTGAATGCATATATAGATCACATCAAACAGTTTGAGGTTTACTTGAGCTTCCAGGAAGCACTCAGCCACGTTTTGTATGCATGTCTAGTAATCAGCTTTGTTCTCCCTGTTCTGTGTTCTTTTGCTCTTCATTATTATCCTTTGTTAGTTACAGATAATGAAATTACTGCACTAAAAGATACACTATAGTAAGCCCTTTATTTACAGTCTAATTCTGTTTTGACAATTTATGTTAATGTCCTATTAGTATTTTATAGCAGTGCGTTTTTCTTTTATTTAGATAAGTTACAAATCCTAAGGGGAATTAACTTAATGCTTTTGATTTAGCTATTACTTTGCTAAAGAATATGAGAAAACATAATACGCAGTTTTGCTTCCCTTTTCTTGATAGTCCATTAGGCAAAGTCCAGCCTGCTGACTCGGTAACAGCTTTGCTGCTCACTGGGACATAATAGTGACTTGTTTTTTTTTCCATCTGATCGGTGCGTTTATTAAAGTTCGTGACTACACCATGATTTGGTTAATGTACAGATTCTTCATATATGCTTGGGTTTATGATCTGGAATTGATAGTTTGTGCCATGCCATTTTGTTAGGATTTTGTTTGCTAGTTTACCATCCTGACTTTGTGGATGGAGTTCTTAAAATGTTTATGGTTTACGCAAGCATTGTCAGTGACTGATGAGGTCTTTTCCTTCCCTTTACAAAAAACAGCTGTGAAGGAATGTGATATAGTGTTGGCATGTGATGCAATTCATCGCCACAATTGACTTTTGTTAATGTAAAATAGAGGAGCAAAAAACTGACACTTCTGTTGTTGGCAGGCTGGGTTAGGCAGTTGGGACTGGAACGTTGACTTGGCAAGTTTTAATAGATTCAAGCGAACAGTTTGCTGGAGGATGTCTGCTTTGTTGTGGCTTGCTTTTTGTGGGGGAGGACAATTTAATTTTCTTTTAATGTAGGTGAATTTGAATGTTGGTGAAAGTTGAAGACTGCAGAAGTCTTAGAATCTGAAACCTGTATTTTCTGAGATGCCACGTAGGTCTGGCACAGCATTGCATCCCTGTGTCTGTTCTGGGGAGTTCACAGAACAGTTAGTTCTGTTTCCACGATGTTCGAGCCTTGGCCTCGCTTCTCAAGAGCTTGAAAAGGATCCAGTTAGTGTCAGTTGTATAATAGAGGGAATTTTTTGTGATGTAGAACCTGCCCACTGGGAACTGGACTGAAATGCGACAACTTCCTTCATATAGCCCAAGAATCAAATGTTGGTCATGAAACCTGGCCCAGATACACACTAGTGACAAGGACTGTAAAGCTGTATATCCTGATTTACAGCCCTACGAACTGTCTGTCTTTCTGTGCCCTTGCAGAGCATTCGGTCCTTTTAATATTGGTACCTCTAAAACTGACAGCCTGAGAGTGCTCAGACTCAGCGGGGATCAGCCTGGTATCAGCGTTCAGTACTGCAGCTTGGCTCCCTGGTCATACCAAATCAGATGTGCTGTTTCATGCTATTTCGCACGGTATCCAAAAACTACCTTTTCCCCTTGTCCCCGACAATTCCTGGCTGCCTCGGGGGCTCTGGAGCAGCCGCGATGCCCGACGGCAGCTGATAAACCGAGTTGTGCTCGCCTGTGCTGTGTGCTGGTCTGCAAAGAGGGATGGGGGTGCTGGCGGTGTGGCTTTTTGGCTTTGTGGAGGACCGTGAGCCTTGCACGCCAGACGTCCTGGAGCTGGCAGAGGCAGGTCTGGGGGAGACTGCTCTGCCCTGCCTCCCGCACACCGCAGTACAAGGTGAGTTCCCTCCTTTACCCTGACCTCTAGTACCTCCGTTCGTTGGGCGTCTCCTGACCTCACCGTGTTGCTGGCACCATCAGCTCCTTCCCGTGTGTTTTTTCTAGCCGTTGGGCTGGAGGTACGTGCTGGTCGGCTTGCTGGCAGGCAGCGGCTGAGCTGCGCAGCACGTCCCTCTGGAAGGGCATTGCTGTTGGAGGTCTTGTCTCTCCAGCCGTTTTTTTTCCACAAGACCTTTAAACGCGGCTTGTCTTCAAGGGTTTTGTCTCTCTGAATCTTAGTTGAAATTCAACAATGTTTTATAATGTTGCTGGTACCCGTGAGGGTGTAGCAGCCCTGAATCTCTAGAAAATAGACAAAAATCCCTTAGACAAAGAGCAGTACCCCCAACATCCACTGGGAAGGCAGAGTTGAAGAGGAGGAACGTGTAGTATCTGTTCTGGAAAGACTGGAATTTAGTGACATCCTGCTGATACAACTCTCTAGTTAGTGGATAGGAAGCTTCAAGGGACACACTTCTTTCTGTAAGGGTATTTTAAATTTTGTTTCCCTCAACTATTTTGTTTCTGAATAATGGTAGAACTATCTTCTGTCTAATGGGAATACACTTTGAGGGGTGCACAGTGGGAAAATGCGTGTGGTGTGCTAAGATGATTGGAAGATTTTACTGGAATCTCATAACCTCTCTGATTCAGTCTCAGACTTCCATGCCATGAGATCATCGCATGCCTGTGAAAATGACCAAAAAAACCCTTAGAGTTCCCTTTAAAACATGATGCTTGTTAGATTAAAATATTTCATATTAATGTCATATTCTTAGCTAAACTGAATGAACACAATTGTCTTTAAGTGTCGTGTCCTGCTTGCTTTGCAGCCTAGATGCCAGTTGCAGTTGGTATATTTTGCTCCAGATTCAGAACTGTGGTGGCCCTGCCAAATAGTTTCTTAGTTGCTTTTAAAAATAAAAGGGCTGTTTATACATTACAATCCACAGAGGGTCTGAAATTCAGTGTGTCCTAAGATGAATACAAATCATAGACAAAAAGTGGTTTGTTGGAAGGCTTCACAAGTATGGAACTGATTACAGCCAGGCAGCACAGATTTCCTTCTGTAAGATGGAACTGATAGAATTCCTTCCTGACAGCTAGAAATTATAATTGGGTTGGGGGCTTTTTTCTGTGTTTTAAACTTTACCAGTCTTCAAAATGAGCAAGAGGGATGGAATCCTAATCCATCTGCAATTGATGGGGATTCTGCCTGTAAGCCAGGATGTTAATCTAAATATCCATCCAACTACCCAGTCACTGTGGAGGTACTGCGAACAATTTCATAGCTGTGGTTTTGTCAAGCGTTTATGTGGATTAAAATATCTCTTACAGGTCAGTGACAGAATTCAGTCTGCAAATTGACCACAGATCTTTTCTGGGGGGAAGAACCGATTTCACTATGACATTGAATAAAATTATATTCTCTTTCTAAAATGTTTCCCCCACCAGCTCGTTGTAACACGTCCAGCAGAACTCAGCCTTTGTGTAGCGGTCATGACACCGCTAAGAGATTTTCTCGAAAG